TCATGTTAGTGTTCATACTACAATAAAAAAAGGGGGACTATAAAGTAGCCATTATAAATTTGTTTAAAAACTTAAAGGAAAAATGATTAAAGAATTAAAAAGAAATAGGACAATGAATCAACAGGGAATCTAAAAAAAAAAAAAAGTAATTATTAAAAAGAATCCATGAAAATTCTAGAGTCAAAAACAGTATCTGAAAATTCCTAGACAGGCTCGATAACAGAATTTAGAAGGCAGAAGAATCACCAAACTTGTAGATGAATAAAAATTATCCAATTTAAAACATAAGATAATAAAAATTAAAGAAATATGTACAGGGCTTCAAAGAATGGCTCAACAGCAAATGTATCAATATACATATGAGCCCCAGAAAGGGGCAGAAGAAATAATGGAAAGAATAATGGTCAAAAAATCTCCTAATTTGATAAAAATATTAATCTACAAATCCCTGAATCTCATAAGATCGCAAGTAGGATAAACACAAACAAACGCACACCTAGACACACTATGCTCAAACTGCTGAAAGCCAAAGAGAAAATCTTAAAAGCAGTAGGAGAAAAGCAACTCATCACAAACAGGAAAACAATATGATTAACAGCTAATTTTTCATCAAAAACAATGGTGACAATAACTCAGTGGAAAGACCTATTCAAAGTGCTGGGGTGGAGGAGTAACAATCAAAAATTCTAAATCCATCAAACTCTATCCCTCAAAAATTAATTGGACATATATTTCAAATAAAGACAGAGAATTTGTTGTTGGCAAACTTACCTTATGTGGAATGCTAAAAACAAAACAGAACAAAAGACCTTTAGATGAAATAAAAATAGACTCAGTAACTTGAATCCATGGGAAAAATGAAAAGCAGCAGCAATAGTAAACATTTCTAAATGTATATACATTCCCTCATATGTCATTGTTTAAAGTAATAAAAACAGTATTGTGTATGCATGTATATGTGTGTAGATATATATAAAATAAAACACAAATGTAATATATATGATAATTAATAGAACAAAGGAAGGGGAAGGAAATAAAGGTATGCTGGAACAAAGTTGCTGTATTGTACCACAAGTTAGTAAATATTAATCTGAAGTAGTCTGCAATAAGTTATACCTAATGACACCTAGAATGACTTAGAAAATGACTTAAAATAGTAAAAAGTTAAGATTAAAACAGTACCCCAGTAACCATGTTTAATACAAAAAAGGAGAAAAGGAATAACCCAATAATAGGAAGACATACTATATAGAGAAAGCAGGGGCGTCTGGGTGGCTCAGTTGGTTAAGTGTCTGCCTTCAGCTCAGGTCATGGTCCCAGGGTCCTGGGATTAAGATCCATGTCAGGCTCTGTGCTTAGCAGTTCCTGGGATTGAGCACCCCATTGTGCTCACTCTCTCCCAAATAAATATATAAATTTAAAAAAAAAAAGATATAGAGAAAGCAAATAGTAAAATGGCAGACATAAATCCAACCATAATTTTATTAAATTTTATGGACTAAAAACTCCAATCCAAGAGCAAAGCTGTATTGTATAGGAAAACAAACAACAACAAAAAATCGAGATCCAACAACATGCTACCAGAGGCCCACTTAAAAGACACAGATAAGCTAAAAGAAAAAAGGACAGAAAAATATATGCCACATCAACTGTTATAATGAGAGTTGAAATGGCTGTATTAATATTAGACAAACTGGACTTTCAGACAAGAAATACCACTAGAGGCATAACGAGACACTTTATAATAATAAAAGGTCAATACATCAGAAAGACCTAACAAATATAAAGGTATATATGTCTAAAAACAGAGCCCCAAGATATATGAAGTAAAAACTGACAGAATTGAAAGGAAAAAAGGAAAAATAGACAATTTAACAACTGCAATTAGATATTACAATGTCCTACTCTTAATAGCTAACAGAACAAGCAAGCAAGAAATCAGCGAGAAGACTTGAATAACACTGTCACCAAAGTGACCTGACATTTTTTAACACTCCATCAAATGAGAGAAGAATATGCATTCTTTTCACATGCAGGTGAAACATTCTCCAGCATAGACCATATGCTAGACCTAAAACAAGCCTCAACATGGAGGTTCCTCAAAAAGTTGAAAATAGAGCTATCCTATGACCCAGCAATTGCACTACTGGGTATTTACCCTAAAGATACAAATGTAGTGATCCAAAGGGACACGTGCACCCAAATGTTTATAGCAGCAATGTCCACAATAGCCAAACTATGGAAAGAACCTAGATGTCCATCAACAGATGAATAGATAAAGAAGATGTGGTATATATATACAATGGAATACTATGCAGCCATCAAATGAAATCTTGCCATTTGCGATGACGTGGATGGAACTAGAGGGTATTATGCTTAGTGAAATAAGTCAATCAGAGAAAGACAACTATCATATGATCTCCCTGATATGATGAAGTGGAGATGCAACTTGGGGGGTTTGGGAGATAGGAAAAGAATAAATGAAACAAGATGGGATCGGGAGGGAGACAAACCGTAAGAGACTCTTAATGTCACAAAACAAACTGAGGGGGGTCAGGGGGGCGGGGAGGGAGAAGGTGGTGGGCTTATGGACATTGGGGAGGGTATGTGTTATGGTGAGTGTTGTGACCTGTACCCCTGGGGCTAATAATACATTATATACTTATAAAAAAATTAAAAGAAAATAAAACAAGCCTCAAGAAATTTGAAAGGACTCCAATCATTCAAAGTATATTCTCCAACAAATAAATTAAAAATAAACAAAGAAATTCAGAAAATACCCAGTACTTGGAAATGAAGTGACATATTCCTAAATAACCCATGGTTTCAAAAAAGAAATGAGAAATTAGACAATATTGGGATTAAATGAAAACAAAAATACAACATATCAAAATTTATGAGGTATAGCTTATTCAGTACTTAGAAGGAAATTTAGAAGTTTAAATATCTATACTAGGAAAGAAAGGTTTCACATCAATAATCTAAGCTTCCAGGGGTGCCTGGGTGGCTCAGTGGGTTAAGCCTCTGCCTTCAGCTCAGGTCATGATCCCAGGGTCCTGGGATTGAGCCCCGCATTGGGCTCTCTGCTCAGCAGGGACCCTGCCTCCACCTCTCTCTCTGCCTGCCTCTCTGCCTACTTGTGATCTCTGTCTGTCAAATAAATAAATAAAATCTTTTAAAAAAATAATCTAAGCTTCCACTTTAAGAGCAAACAAGAAGAGCAAATTAAACCTAAAGTAAGCAGAAGGAAGGAAATAAACATCAGAGGGGAAAGAAATCAATGAAATAGGAAACAGAAAAACAATAAAGAAAAACAAAGAAACCAAAAGTTCTTTGGGAAAAATAATCAACAAAATTGGGAAGCCTTTAGCTAGGCTAAGAAAAATCAAGAGATGACAGAATACCAAAACTAGGGATGAAAGAAGGGACATAAATAGCCACGCAAATTAAAAGGGCTATAAAAGAACCAATCTTACACAAATTCTTTCAGAAAATAGAGGCAAGGGAACTTTCCAACTCATTCTGAGACCAGTATTACCCTTTTACCAAAGCAAGATAAAGATATCACAAGGAAAGCAGAGATCAATATCCCTTGCAAGCACTCACATGAAAATCCTTAACACATTAGCAGCAAATAAAATCCAGCAACATACAAAAAAGAAAAACCACCGTAAGGCAGTAGGATTTACGTGACCATGACATCTATGAGGCTCCAACCTCCTCTCTGTGCTGATGTCACGCTTCATTCAGACTGATGCAAATTGCCAGTCGTACTCTGGCTGTGCAGTCCCTTCAGTATAAAGCTTCCTTGATGGTTGTGTGTAGAGTGGACAAAATAAAGTAACCTAATCCTACTGAACTTATGGAAGATACCATAAAAGAAGCAGAAACCAAGATGATTTCCAATTTCAACCTTGATATTGAGGGTTGATATACCTGACAAGGATTTAAAACAAAGATGAAAAAGTAGGTGAGCAAGGAGCTAGATTTTCAGTTCAATTATATTCAGAGCTTAAAACTATCAATCACCAACCAGATCCAAGGGAAACATGGATGGTTAAGTAGTTCTCCTAGAATAAGAAATGACACCCTAACTGTTGGAAAAGGAACACTGTGTCACCGGGAATAGAAGTGAGACTTTGAGGAGATGGTGTGTTCCTTTCTTCAGCTCATGTCAACTCATACTCTGAAATCCAGGACTAAATTTTAGGCTTAGCACCTCAGGTCACCAGTTAAGGTGACAGTGCTGTTCACTTCTAGGTTCTTGCTTTTAAAGATGGTTATCAGCAGGAGGATGATGCACCCGGCTACCCATCCAACCACCAGCCAACTTAGCCTGGTAAAAAAATAACTCAATCCACAAATACAGTTCATAACACAGTTGAGGGTAAGAGATACCAGGGAAAGCTGTAAGAAATGTTTTCAAAAAGCACTTGCACTCACCAAAAACTTTCATATCCATCTCTAGGAATCTCAAAAAAAAAAAAATTCATCTAGAAACGTTATTTAGGTGGACATTCATTTGTGCATGGTTTAGAATTTTAAGTTTTGACCCATAGCATTAATAAGTTAACCAATTCTGTACTATGCATGAGCATAAAAATCTAATAGTTTAAAATCTTTTGCTGTTTTATTATTTCAATTTTATAAAAAGTAGTGTTTCAGATGAAAGACTGCATGAAACCATAAAAGACAAAGCCTCTAGCTATCACATGAGATTTGAAATAAGGCAAATGTTAACTAAAAATATTTCAGACTAATATTTTAAATAATGAAATGAGGACACAACTATGTATTTTATGGCAATCCTTGAAATACTTCTTTTCCATTAGTTGAGAGTAAGGATAAAAAATTTGAGTAGATACTTCCAGGAAAAGTAAGTCAAGTACATCTACATCCTCGTTAAATGTGACTAACGTCAAATACTGAATTTGGCTAATCATACATACAAACCATCAAGATTTATATTTTATTCTGGATGAATTTCCAACATATCAGTATAACATTTCTGTATTATGAACTGCAAAAGAACTCATGACAATACAATGGGCAATATGCAAGTTTATTTAAATAATTTAACACTGCACAGAAAGCTAATCAGAAGTATAAAAATAGATGGTTTAGGAACCAAATATAAAGCACCACACTGAAGAATACACATACACCATCAGGCCTTTGGAAGATTAAGGCAACATTAATATCTCAAATAATTTTATGAGAACACTTTACTCATACGACAGATGTTATTAAAACATCTCAAAATAGAGTCCACAATTTTTTCAGTATGAAGTCTTTCCTTCCAGTTTTCTTGTCAATATATTGATTTTCCTTATATACTGTACAACAATTAGTCTAGATTGACAAATGGGCTATCAAAGCCGCTATCTTGCTGGCTAGATAGAGGAGCAATTAATTTTCTCAAGGGCTGCCGACACACAGATGATGGTACTGTACTGCTCAGTTTTTTGAAGTCAGACTTTAATATATCAGCCTTATGATGAGGTGGGTGTCTAAGAATCTCTGGCTGGGAACAAAGGGTGTCTTCTGACAGGTCTGAAGTGTGACCACTCTGACATTTCATTGGTTGACAAATCATTTTATTTTTCTCTGTAACTGAAAGACAACTGGCTGCTGAAAACTGTTTGAAATTAATAGCTTCAGTTGGTATATCCAGAGTTTCTTGTGGTCTACTGTGTACAAATGACACTTCGTTGCAGGGTAAAGTGGCACTGTTGGACTGCCAGCATATGGAGTCATCCAGGTCCCCTCCATCCTTCACTGGAGTTTCCCGAACACCCAAACTTTGACTTTTCTCAGATGCAGCATTTTCACTTTCTATTAGTGGATTGCACTTATACACCTTCAAACCAAGCCTTTCATTAGGACCTCGAAAGGTTGTATGTGTGGATCCAGATTCAGAAAGACTAGGGGTATACCTAGATGAGGGTTTATTTCCAAAGGATCCAAGAAAGGGGTAGACAGCAGAATGCCCTTGTGATTGAGAGCCAGTATCACTGAGGTCTTTCTTCTTGTGCAAACCAAAGCCTTTTTCACCTTCGCAAGGAACAAACTCAGGGGAAACATTTTTTGGCAACATGTCTGGGTGTTTATAACCATTATCGCCAAATTGGAAGCCTGAGTGTGACCCTTTGGAACCCATGTGCTTCGTATCCTCATGCTCCGCGTCCTCTAACCGTCTTCTTAAGTTACAAGCAGGCCTTCTCTTAGGGACTTGGTCACATATACTTCTGGGGATAGTTTGTATACTGCTTGATTTGCTTTCAGTGCGACATGGTGTATTCTGATTCATATCATTTCTTTTTGATTTTTCAACTCCAGTCAGCATCTCTGAAGTCAGAGGTAGTACTAAATACAAGGGAACACAAAATTAGGGGAAAACAAAATCAGGAGAAAATTAACATTGAAAGAGGAGGGAAAAAAATTATGATTTCACACATTTCCAAAGAAAGCTTATATTTTAATCATTCTCAAAGAAAATACATCAATGCTGGACATTTAAAAATATTATTTTACATATATACATTAAATAAAGTGAAGCGATTTTGTTATTGAAATCTGACATTGTTATACATCTGATCTGTTATTTTCTGCCACAGATATATATTGCATTTCAAGAGCCAACTGCAACATTTCCAATTCTGCTCTAATGAAGAAAATTTGCTAAAGAACCCCAATGCCCAATGCCTACATAAGCAAGCGCGCGCGCGCGCGCGCACACACACACACACACACACACACACACACACGCACACAGTAAAAGCTAGAATGGAGTTTCTGATTTAAGCTACCTAAGACACGAAATCTGTTCAGAAGCAAAGCAGCAACATAGCATAGAGTCAGAGAAATCAGACTTCAGAGTAGTGTACCTTGGTCCCTACATCATGAAAAGGGTTTGCTTTTATTAGGAACATTTGAACAATTGCCCCACATCTTATACACCCAAGGTTCACATCACCATTCCCAAATTTACACAAATAATCTTTGTGCTTTTTTTTTTTTTTTTTAGGATTTTATTTATTTGATAGAGACACAGTGAGAGGGGGAACACAAGCAAGGGGAGTGGGAAAGGGAGAAGCAGGCTTCCTGCTGAGCAAGGAGCCTGATGCAGGGCTCCATCCCAGAATCCTGGGATCATGACCTGAGCCCAAAACAAATGCTTAACAACTGAGCCAGCCAGGCGCCCCAATCTTTGTGCTTTGCCCTGTTCTGAGACTCTCGGTTCCTCTTGCTCTTACTCCAGCCCAATATTGGGAGTAGGGGAAGGGAAAGGAGAATGATTAATAAAGAGGGTGGCCCTACCTGGTTACTGTTGCTCTAGAACACCAGCTAATTATAATTATCTCACTGGTATCCCCTAGGCTTACTACTTCTCCTGAAACATACTGCCTTCATTTGTGGAACAGTTTTGATACTGCTCCTATGTGTAGCTGTTATCTTCCGGCAGTTTTGAACTGTTTCCATCTTTAGTCTTATATAGTCTTTCTTTCAGAGATTTCTCACAGCTTCTGGCCTTTCAGTTGTAACTTTTAAAAATTATTTATATATTTTTAAAATTTGAAGTACACTTGCCATACAATATTGTATTAGTTTCAAGCATACATCATAGTGATTCAACAGTTCTAGACATATACACTGCTTACCACAATGAGTGTAATTACCACCTACCACCAAGTTATTAAAATACTATTGACTATATTTCTCATGCTGTACTCTTCAACCCTGTGACATGCCTATTTTATAACTGGAAATTTGTACCTTTTAATCTTCCTCACCAGTTTCACCCATCTCCACCCCGCTCCACTCTGGGAACTATCAATTTGTTCTCTGTATTTATGAGACTGTTTTTCTTCAACATGTTGTTTTTTTAGATTACACATATAAGTGAAGTCATATGGTATTTGTCTTTCTGCCTGACTTATTTCACTTAGCACAATACTCTCTGTATCCATCCATGTTGTCATAAATGGTAAGATTTCTTTCTTTTTTTATGGCTGTTTAATACTTCTGTGTGTGTGTGTGTGTGTGTGTGTGTGTATGTGTGAAGTCTTCTTAGTCCATTCACCTAGTGGTGGACAGTTAAGTAAATAATGTAATGTAAATAATGTTGCAATAAACATAGGTGCATATATTTATTTCAAATTAGTGTTTTTTTTATTTTTTATTTTGGGGATAAATACCCAGTAATGCAACTACTAGACTGTAAGGTAGTTCTATTTTTAACTTTTTGAGGAACCTTTATACTGCCTTCCACAGTAGCTGCACCAGTTTGCATTCCCACCAACAGTGAGGGTCCCTTTTTCTCCACATTTTCTTCACCAACATTTGTTTCTTGTGTTTATTTTAACCATTCTGACAGGTGTGAGATGATGTCTCATTGGACTTTTGATTTGTATTTCCCTGATGATGACTGATGAGAGCATCTTTTCACATGTTTGTTGGCCATCTATGACTTCTTTGTAGAAATATCTGTTCATGTCTTCTGCCCATTTTTTTAATTTTTGATTTTTGGATTATTTGTTCTGTGGGTGCTGAGTTGAAGTCATATGATATTAACCCCCTTATCAAATATATCATTTGCAAATATGCTCTACTGTTCAGGAGGTTGCCGTTTTTTGTTGTTTCCTTTGCTGTGCAGAAACTTTTATTTTGCTGCATTCCCAATAATTTATTTTTGATTTTGTTTCCCTTGGCTGAGAAGACATACTCAGAAAAAAGCTGCTAAGGCCAATGTCGCAAAACAGATTACTGTTTACTTTTTATTATTACTGTTTTTTATGGTTTGAGGTCTTACAAATATTTAGGTCTTTAATACATGTTGAGTTTATTTTTGTTTATGGTTTAAGAAACTGATTCAGTTTCATTCTTTTGCATGTAGCTGTACAGTCACAGCTACACAATGACTGCCATTAAAGAGACTGTCTTTTTACCATTGTATATTCTTGCCTCCTTTGTGGTAGATTGACATACAATTAATTGGCCATATAATAATGAGCTTATTGAACTCTGTCATTTTCCATTGATCTATATATCTATTTTTGTTCCAGTACCACAGTTTGATTACTAAAACTTTGTCATATAGCTTGAAATCTAGAATTGTGATACCTCTAGTTTTGTTCTTTCTCAAGATTGCTTCTGCTATTCATGGTCTTAGTGTTTCCACACAAATTTTAGGGTTATTTGTTCTATTTTTGCAGAAAATACTATCAACACCTTGATTGGAATTGCACTGAATATGTAATTTGCTTTGGGTAGTATGGGCATTTTAACAATATTAATCCTCTCATTTATTTACATCATTTTTAATTTCTTTCATTGATGATTGAAGTTTTCAGAGGATAGGTCTTTCACCTCTATCATCAAATTTATTCCTAGGTATTTCATTCTATCTGATGTAATTATAAATGGAATTATTTTATTTCTCTTTCTGATACTTTGTTATTAGTGTATATAAACACAACAGTTTTCCATACATTAATTTTATTTCCTACAACATTACTGAATTCATTTATTAATTCTAGTCATTTTTAAGTGCTGTCTTTAGGGTCTTTTATGTATAGTATCATGTCATCTGCAAAAAATGACAGTTTTGCTTCTTTCCTAATAATTTGGATTTTTCTTATCTGACTGCTGTAGCCAGGACTTCTGGTGCTATGTTGAATAAAAGTGGTGGAGTGGACATCTTTGTCTTGTTCCTGATCTTAGAGGAAAAGCTTTCAGTTTTTCCCCATTGAGTATGATGTCAGCTGTGGGTTTGTCATATACAGACTATATTATGTTGAGGTATAATCCCTCTAAACTCACTTTGTTGAGAGTTTTTATCGTAAACCGATGGTGAATTTTATCCAAAGCTTTTTCTGCATTTATTGTGATAATCGTATGGTTTGTTCACTTAACTTTGTTAATGTGGTGTATCATGTAGATTGATTTGTGAGTAATGAACCATCCTTGCATGCCTGGAATAAATCCCACTTGATCATCATGAATGATCCTTTGCATGTACCATTGAACTTAGTTTGCTAATTATTTTGTCAAGGATTTTTGCATCTATACTCGTCAGAGATTTGGCCAGTAGTTTTCTTTTTTTTTAATAGTATCTTTCTCTATGTTGGTATCATGGTAATGCGGCCTCATAGAAATGAATTTAGAAATTAATTCCTTCCTCTTGTATTTTTTGGAAAGTTTGAGGATGACAGGCATTAATTCTTCTCCAAAAATTTGGTAGCATTCACCTGTGAATACATCTGGCTCTAGACTTGTGTTTGTTGGAAGCTTTGTAATTACGGATTCAATTTCATTCTAGTAACAGGTCTGTTCGGATTTTCTATTTTTTTCCTGATTCAGTCTAAGAAGATTGTATATTTTGAGAAATGTATCCCTTTCTTCTAGGTTGTCCAATTTGTTGGCATAGAGTTTTGTGGTAGTCTCTTACAATCCTCTGTATTTTTGTGGTGTCAGTTGTTACTTCTCTTACATTTCTTATTTATTTGAGTCCTATCTCTTTTTTTTTTTTCTTGAAGACTCTGGGTAAAGGTTTATCAATTTCATTTACCTTTTTAAAAAAACAGCTCTTGGCTTTGTTGACCTTTACTACTATTTTTTTTTAAATCTCTATTTCATTTATTTCTGCTCTGTTCTTTATCATTCCCTCCCTTCTACTAACTTTTCTAAAATATTTTCTGTCATTTCTAGGAAGGAAAGAAACTATAGGAAGCTGATGGGTATGCTCAGTCTGCCTACTCAAACTGAAAACTCTATACTTTTTTTTTTAAGTTTTTAGTTTAAATAAAGCACAGACACAACTTTATAAATTAACGCTCTCTCCTTACATTCCTTGTTCTTTTCCATGTTAAAAATGTTAAGTATTTGAGAAGAGAGAAAAAAGCCCTTTAAGTGACTCATTTTGACATACCTGACTGTGTAGTTTTGCTCTGGGATTTATGAGAAATTGGCGTTTCCAGCAATTTTGCCATTGTAGCAAGTTTGCTAGCAGCATTCATAATCTTTTTCTCAGCCCTGTGGGGAATTCCAGAATATTAAATTAATAATAGTTTAAAGGAAAAAATGAGTTTCCTTAGCCCCAGGATTTCTGTTTTCCTATTAGTTCTGCCAATATTTAGGGTAGTACAGACATAAGCCTCTCTTAACCCCTAATGGCCGATCATGTAGAAATAGTTAATTTTGTGGTTAAGGAAAATGTTTAGAAAATGACAACATGCTGTCCTGGTAGTCTCAGGACATACTGTTTGTTTAGATTGAACTTACCCTTCCTGTTTGCCATTATCTTGCAAAATCTGTTGGAGGCAAGTCAAGTAGTATTTGCGCATCTTTCGGGCAGTTTCTTGACGTTCTCGCAATACTTCTGCTTTTACCATTTCCGCAGCTCTTTCCTTACTCTCCTGAATATAACGAAGCATATCACCTAGTGGGAAGGTGAGAGTTGGTGGGGAGACAGGAATCCCCACAAAATGCATGTTTACTACCTGTTTTTTCAAAAATAGGGGAGGCAGACTTCAGATCAATTTTCTGGGAGAGGAAGTGACTAGAGGCGTAGTTTGAACATTGTACTTTTCCACCATGATTAAAATGGAATGTTTCAGATCACTGTTTTAGGAGACTCAAAGGAGAAATAATCTAAAAGTCCTTTTAGAATGATGATAGCCACATATGTTAAGGAAACAGCATATTCCCTAGGAAAACATAGAATACAGAAACTTTCACATTTCAATTATGTATTGTCTGATTAAGAGAAAAGGAAAAAATACACATAAAGGGTGAGGAAGAAAGAAAGGAGACACAGAAAGATGGAGGCAATATGAACTTGGAGATACTCATATTCCGATTTACTTAAGCTCTGAAAATCCATGTTTCATTATTTATTCAATTATTTCAGCAGCACTTATGAGTACCCAAGTAATATAATATTACAATCCATGAGGGATATGTACAAAACACCAGGGAGAAGGTTGAGACCAATGTTGCCTTCTGAAATATATTTAAAAATAGTTCACGGGGATGCCTGGGTGGCTCAGTAGGTTAGGCATCTGCCTTTGGCTCAGGTCATGATTCCAGAGTCCTGCATCAGGCTCTTTTCTCAGCAGGGAGTCTGCTTCTCCCTCTGGCTGCTGTTCCCCCTGCTTGTGTGCTCTCTCTCTCTCTCTCTGACAAATAAATAAATAAAATCTTCAAATAAATAAATCAGTAAGATTAAATAAAATTAGTTCACTGCTTTCAAGTTTTCTTTTTATCTTTGATTCAACACAATTTGATTGAGATTACCATTATTTAAGGTCAACATTTTTTTTTTTTAACTAAATCTAGGGCTATATCCTGCCTCTAGAATACCGCCACTCTGTTATATTAGAGATTCAATTCATATGGGAATCTCCCTCAATATCAGTAAGCTCTTTCTGAAAATTAGACACTCTATGCAAAAAATACTAACTGAAAGACTACTTCCCATTATTTGCAGTGGGACAAATTAAATTGGAATACATAGCAACACAAAACCTCCAACCCATGTCTAAAATGTTAAACAATACACATACATACAAATTAGCATATGAGTATGAAAAAATGCTTAAAATTTCACATCCCAACTGATATGATTCTTTTTTTTTTCATTCTTTTTTTTTTAATCAATTTTTTATTTATAAACACATATTTTTATCCCCAGGGGTACAGGTCTGTGAATCACCAGGATTATAATATTTTTATATATTATATATATTATATTATATATATATATTATATATATTGTATGTATTATATTATATTGTGTATATATATATTATATATATATTATATATATTGTAATACACTTCACAGCACTCACCATAGCACATACCCTCCCCAATGTCCATAACCCCACCCGCCCAACCCCCTTCCCCCCAGCAACCCTCAGTTTGTTTTGTGAGATTAAGAGTCACTTATGGTTTGTCTCCCTCCCAATCCCATTTGTTTCATTTACTCTTCTCCTACCCCTTTAACCCCCCATGTTGCATTGCTCTCCCTCATATCAGGGAGATCATATGATAGTTGTCTTTCTCTGATTGACTTATTTCGCTAAGCATGATACCCTCTAGTTCCATCCACGTCGTCGCAAATGGCAAGATTTCATTTCTTTTGATGGCTGCATAGTATTCCATTGTGTATATATACCACATCTTCTTTATCCATTTATCTGTTGATGGACATCTAGGTTCTTTCCATAGTTTGCCTATTGTAGACATTGCTGCTATAAACATTCGGGTGCACGTGCCCCTTCGGATCACTACGTTTGTATCTTTAGGGTAAATACCCAGTAGTGCAATTGCTGGGTCATAGGGTAGCTCTATTTTCAACTTTCTGAGGAAATTCCATGCTGTCTTCCAGAGTCGTTACACCAGCTTGCATTCCCACCAACAGTGTAGGAGGGTTCCCCTTTCTCCGCATCCTCGCCAGCATCTGTCATTTCCTGACTTGTTAATTTTAGCCATTTTGACTGGTGTGAAGTGGTAGCTCATTGTGGTTTTGATTTGTATTTCCCTGATGCTGAGTGATGTGGAGCATTTTTTCATGTGTCTGTTGGCCATCTGAATGTCTTCTTTGCAGAAATGTCTGTTCATGTCCTCTGCCCATTTCTTGACTGGATTATTTGTTCTTTGGGTATTGAGTTTGCTGAGCCCTTTATAGATTTTGGACACTAGCCCTTTATCTGATATGTCGTTTGCAAATATCTTCTCCCATTCTGTCAGTTGTCTTTTGGTTTTGTTAATTGTTTCCTTTGCTGTGCAAAAGCTTCTGATCTTGATGAAATCCCAAGAGTTCATTTTTGCCCTTGCTTCCCTTGCCTTTGGCGATGTTCCTAGGAAGAAGTTGCTGCGGCCGAGGTCGAAGAGGTTGCTGCCTGTGTTCTCCTCAAGGATTTTGATGGATTCCTTTCTCACATTGAGGTCTTTCATCCATTTTGAGTCTATTTTCGTGTGTGGTGTAAGGAGATGGTCCAATTTCATTTTTCTGCATGTGCCTGTCCAATTTTTCCAACACCATTTATTGAAGAGGCTGTTTTTCCATTGGACATTCCTTCCTGCTTTGTTGAAGATTAGTTGACCATAGAGTTGAGGGTCTATTTCTGGGCTCTCTATTCTGTTCCATTGATCTATGTGTCTGTTTTTGTGCCAGTGCCACACTGTCTTGATGATGACAGCTTTGTAATAGAGCTTGAAGTCCGGAATTGTGATGCCACCAACTTTGGCTTTCTTTTTCAATATTCCTTTGGCTATTTGAGGTCTTTTCTGGTTCCATACAAATTTTAGGATTATTTGTTCCATTTCTTTGAAAAAAAAAAAAATGAATGGTACTTTCATAGGAATTGCATTAAATGTGTAGATTGCTTTAGGTAGCATAGACATTTTCACAATATCTATTCTTCCAATCCAGGAGCATGAAACATTTTTCCATTTATTTGTGTCTTCCTCAATTTCTTTCATGAGCACTTTATAGTTTTCTGAGTATAGATTCTTAGCCTCTTTGGTTAGGTTTATTCCTAGGTATCTTATAGTTTTGGGTGCAATTGTAAATGGGATTGACTCCTTAAATTTCTCTTTCTTCTGTCTTGTTGTTGGTGTAGAGAAATGCAACTGATTTCTGTGCATTGATTTTATATCCTGACACTTTACTGAATTCCTGTACAAGTTCTAGCAGTTTTGGAGTGGAGTCTTTTGGGTTTTCCACACATAGTATCATATCATCTGTGAAGAGTGATAGTTTGACTTCTTCTTTGCCGATTTGGATGCCTTTAATTTCCTTTTGTTGTCTGATTGCTGAGGCTAGGACTTCTAGTACTTTGTTGAATAGCAGTGGTGATAATCGACATCCCTGCCGTGTTCCTGACCTTAGCGGAAAAGCTTTCAGTTTTTCTCCATTGATAATGATATTCGCAGTGGGTTTTTCATAGATGGCTTTGATAATATTGAGGTATGTGCCCTCTATCCCTACACTTTGAAGAGTTTTGATCAGGAAGGGATGCTGTACTTTGTCAAATGCTTTTCAGCATCTATTGAGAGTATCATATGGTTCTTGTTCTTTCTTTTATTAATGTGTTGTATCACCTTGATTGATTTGCAGATGCTGAACCAAACTTGCAGCCCTGGAATAAATCCCAGTTGGTCGTGGTGAATAATCCTTTTAATGTACTGTTGAATCCTACTGGCTAGTATTTTGGTGAGAATTTTTGCATCTGTGTTCATCAAGTATATTGGTCTGTAGTTCCCTTTTTTGATGGGATCCTTGTCTGGTTTTGGGATCAAGGTGATGCTGGCCTCATAAAATGAGTTTGGAAGTTTTCCTTCCATTTCTATTTTTTCGAACAGTTTCAGGAGAATAGGAATTCGTTCTTCTTTAAATGTTTGGTAGAATTCCCCCGGGAAGCCGTCCGGCCCTGGGCTTTTGTTTGGAGATTTTTGATGACTGTTTCAATCTCCTTACTGGTTATGGGTCTGTTCAGGCTTTCTCTTTCTTCCTGGTTCAGTTGTGGTAGTTTATATGTCTCTAGGAATGCATCCATTTCTTCCAGATTGTCCAATTTGTTGGCGTAGAGTTGCTCATAGTATGTTCTTACAATTGTATTTCTTTGGTGTTAGTTGTGATCTCTCCTCTTTCATTCATGATTTTATTTGGGTCCTTTCTCTTTTCTTTTTGATAAGTCTGGCCAGGGGCTTACCAATCTTATTAATTCTTTCAAAGAACCAGCTCCTAGTTTTGTTGATTTGTTCTATTGTTTTTTTGGTTTCTATTTCATTAATTTCTGCTCTGATTTTTATGATTTCTCTTCTCCTGCTGGGTTTAGGCTTTCTTTGTTGTTCTTTCTCCAGCTCCTTTAGGTGTAGGGTTAGGTTGTGTATTTGAGACCTTTCTTGTTTCTTGAGAAAGGCTTGTACTGCTATATATTTTCCTCTCAGGACTGCCTTTACTGTGTCCCACAGATTTTGAACCAATGTGTTTTCATTATCATTTGTTTCCATGAATTTTTTTCAATTCTTCTTTAATTTCCTGGTTGACCCATTCATTCTTTAGAAGGATGCTGTTTAGTTTCCATGTATTTGGGTTCTTTCCAAATTTCCTCTTGTGATTGAGTTCTAGTTTCAGAGCATTGTGGTCTGAAAATATGCAGGGAATGATCCCAATCTTTTGATATCGGTTGAGACCTGATTTAGGACCGAGGATGTGATCTATTCTGGAGAATGTTCCATGTGCGCTATTGAAGAATGTGTATTCTTTGCTTTGGGATGAAATGTTCTGAATATATCTGTGATGTCCATCTGGTCCAGTGTGTTATTTAAGGCCTTTATTTCCTTGTTGATCTTTTGCTTGGATGATCTGTCCATTTCAATGAGCAGAGTGTTAAAGTACCCTACTATTATTGTATTATTGTTGATGTGTTTCTTTGGTTTTGTTATTAATTGGTTTATATAATTGGCTGCTCCCACGGTAGGGGCATAGATATTTAAAATTGTTAGATCTTCTTGTTGGACAGATCCTTTGAGTATGATATAGTGTCCTTCCTCATCTCTTATTATAGTCTTTGACTTAAAATCTAATTGATCTAAGGATTGCCACCCCAACTTTCTTCTGATGTCCATTAGCATGGTAAATTCTTTTCCACCCCCTCACTTTAAATCTGGAGGTGTCTTTGGGTTTAAAATGAGTTTCTTGTAGGCAACATATAGATGGGTTTTGTTTTTTTATCCATTCTGATACCCTGTGTCTTCTGATTGGGGCATTTAGCCCATTAACATTCAGGGTAACTATTGAGAGATATGAATGTAGTGCCATTGGATTGTCTGTGACTGTTATTGTATATTGTCACTGTTCCTTTCTGATCTACTACTTTTAGGCTCTCTCTTTGCTTAGAGGACCCCTTCCAATATTTCCTGTAGAGCTGGTTTGGTGTTTGCAAATTCTTTCAGTTTTTGTTTGTCCTGGAAGCTTTTTATCTCTCCTTCTATTTTCAATGATCTCCTAGCTGGATATAGTATTCTTGGCTGCATGTTTTTCTCGTTTAGTGCTCGGAGTATATCATGCCAGCTCTTTCTGGCCTTCCAGGTCTCTGTGGATAAGTCCGCTGCCAATCTAATATTTTTACCATTGTATGTTACAGACTTCTTTTCCTGGGCTGCTTTCAGGATTTTCTGTCACTAAGACTTGTAAATTTTACTATTAGGTGATGGGGTGTGGACCTATTCTTATTGATTTTGAAGGGGTGGTTCTCTGAATCTCCTGGATTTTGATGCTTGTTTCCTTTGCCATATTGGGGAAATTGTCTCCAATAATTCTCCCCAATATACCTTCTGCTCTCCTCTTTCTTCTTCTTCTGGAATCCCAATTATTTTAATGTTGTTTTGTCTTATGGTGTCACTTATCTCTCGAATTCTCCCCTAGTGGTCCAGTAGCTGTTTGTCCCTCTTTTGCTCAGCTTCTTTATTCTTTGTCATTTGGTCTTCTATATCGCTCATTCTTCTGCTTATTTATCCTAGCAGTGAGAGCCTCCATTTTTTATTGCACCTCATTAATAGCTTTTTTTATTTCAACTTGGTCAGATTTTAGTTCTTTTATTTCTCCAGAAAGGGCTTTTATATCTCCCAAGAGGGTTTCTCTAATATCTTCCATGCCTTTTTCGAGCCCGGCTAGAACCTTGAGAATCGTCATTCTGAACTCTAGATCTGACATATTACCAATGTCTGTATTGATTAGGTCCCTAGCCTTCAGTACTGCCTCTTGTTCTTTTTTTTGTGGTGAGTTTTTCTGCCTTGTCATTTTGTCCAGATAAGAGTATTTGAAGGAGCAAGTAAAATACTAAAAGGTGGCAACAACCCCAGGAAAATATGCTTTAACCAAATCAGAAGAGATCCCAAATCGTGAGGGGGGAGAAAGGGGATAAAGAGA